CTGTAACGTGCCCGTCAACCGTCCAGGCGGCCCTGGACAACCGCGCAAAATCACGCCTATTGACAATCGAACGGAAATTGGCAAGAAAGCCTCGGGAAGGCCCTAAAATCGACCCGTGCCCATGTGAAAAAACTTTTGTGCCTGAAGATGGTGTTTCCTCTGTCTGTACTCAGGCCTCGGCAATGTCAACAAAAGAGTGACGCAGGTGATCGTGACTTGCGTCCGCCTCCATAGCAGCGCCGTACAGCTCCGCCGGCCAGATATGCATGATTTTTCTGGAACTAACTTTTCAGTGGTGCGCATGGGGCGACAGTAGCGACACAATTATATCTACTTGTCTGGTCCCTTCGAATCAACAAATGCTGGGCCCCAGTGGGTCTCAGTGCAGCTATATCTTGAATGATTGTGATTTGGTCAAATTGCACAAAAACGCATCATTTTTCCACAGACGTTATCCTGTTATTTCAAGTTGACTGCCAAGCGCCGCGGTGTAGCGGCGGCTAGGACGAGTTGGGAGAGAGAAGCTGGGATATCTGCCTGTAGACTCGTAGTATACGGTTTGCTTTGGCGCATCTCTTCTCCGACCAGGAAAGTGCAAGCTTTTGACGTGAAATGTTTGGAGGATTCCAAAAGCGTGCTAGAGGACAGGTCCACGGCAACCCTAGACTCGAACAGACGATTTCATGTACAGAAGTCCCGGCATGTGGGCTGTCGCCGGCTCAGCGACGGCTACGACCCAGGTGGCAGCATGCTGCAGGCCCACCCCCGTCAGCCGCCCGAGGACTGTGAGCACCGAGTGTTTGATCGCCCTGCAGCGGCACCTGGAGTCTCTAGAGTCCCACCGCGGCAGACGTTACGCAATGCCGCCGCGCCGCTGACATTTGTCGACCCACGTAACAGGATCAGGCCGTTGCGCAACCCACGGCTCTTCTAGATGCGGTTTTCCATTTCGCCGACTGTCTAGGGAGTTTTTGCATATCGATGTGTGACCTGGGGTCGATGACGAACGGGAGTTAAGGGCAGTTTCGTGGAATAGAAGTTCGTCCTGTCTGGACGGAGTTACAATCAAATTGACAGACGTTCACGAGGTGTGGAGACCCTGCTCCGGTTCCAGGCCATAACCGAATTGAAACATGCCGGTCTCGCTTGCAAACCCGAAGGTTCAAATGTAATGAATCCTGCCACCGTAACTCAACAGCCTGTCAAATCAGCATCGATTCTTAGACCCGCTGAAATACAGATAATTCAGATGCCCCTCTTTCCTTCCACTAGGGACAACCTCAATCAGCGAATAGCTGAAGTCAGAACGAGCTGCAGCCAGAAATCCATCCGTGACGTTCCATGCGAGAGTGCGGCGGTGACGTGCGACGGAAAGAAAGACTACCGGTGCTCCTGGCTTAAGATTATGACGCTGAAGCCCAACGAAGACCTATGAAGGCCACGTACATTACAATGCGTCGTTTTTACGCCGCTAAGCAGCTTGCAACAACGCTCTGCACTTCTTTGCTGTTTCAAACCTTGGATTGCACAGGATCTGCCGCGTAGCTTAATTCCCTTGTCGATTCCACATCTCCATGCGTTGGAGCAGAAAGTCACATGTCGTACAGTAACGCTATACGCGATATACAACTTCTCATCATCTGAAGCGATTCCATTTGGTTGAACTGTCCCGTTGTTTGCAGCAAGGTCAAATAACGGGTTGCCGGCTCTGCATAGCTTTCCATTCGCTCGCTCCTTAAAGGGGGTCATGTCAAAACATGACACCTTTTCACCATCTATTTTTGAAGCATAATTTTTGAGTCGTCTGAGCACACACATAGCCCCATGGTGTCATTCGAGGGCACACCCACCGTGCTGGAATTACTACAGTTCCGTTGCAATACAGGTTGATTAAATTGGCGAGACTAGTCATTTTGAATACTGTCGTAATGTTGAATGCCGTGCATTTGGCTTTGAAAGGCCTGTATGGCATCCCTAGCAGATGCCAAAGACATTGCTTCGTTGTACAACGACCTCGCGAGCTCTTTCAAGGTCAGAGTCAGAATATGACCTGACGTGACTTTGACCACGAATGACCTTTGAGAAAGTCACGAGCATTGGTGAACTCCATCTCTTAATCACATGCACCTTCAGAACCACTATGTGAGACGACAAAGCGTTTTCTTATGATAAATGCGCTGAGCTCCTGTTTTCTGCATTTACGCCGCGCTCATGTTTAGGAATGCTTCATATCTCAGCGGTCTGACGTGGCAAGAAGAAACAACGTACAGGTTAAATTCGGGGACTACCACGCCTTTGAAGCTCATATTTAATCACGATACACCGGACGTCAACTCTGGAGAGGGCTCGAAAATGCCGAAAGGCGGATTCCACCAACACCCGTCCACGGGAGAGATAATTCTGGTTAACCAATGAAGCTCCGCATTGCAAACGAGTTGTGACGCCATGCGGCCTACCTCATACCTGACCATGCAAATGCATCGTTCAATACTTTATATGAAACCGTGTACATCCCCTTCGCTTTCCCCGAAAACGCAGATTTGGTTGCTTTGTTTGCAAAAGTGCAGTCTGCTGTCATCAGTTATTGAAACATTTAAAGGACTCAATTTGATATTTGTTTCTTAACGGTTTCGTGCTTACATGGATCTATTGGTACAAAAACGGAGGCTATGCGTATGTGTGGATGGGAGGCTTTAGGTTAAACGAATTTTTCACATCTTTTGCCTTTAACAGCGTGGTATAATTGGCAAATTATTAAATGAATGCTCTCTATAAACATGCAAGCCAGAAGAACAACACATTAGATCCAGTGTGGTGGTCTAAACCTGACCTGGGCGTGGCCATGACTGAATATTGACCTGACCTCGACTCACTGCTTTATCTCTGTCAACATCAAGGTATCGTGTGATGCCTGTCACAAAGCCCCGCGGCATTGCTACTTCTGGTACCATGAAGTCATGCCATGAAGTAATCTCGAAATTTGGGTGATTTTAGGCATGTTGTGTGGCCAGTGACGTTATCATCAGTCACGTGATAGATTATAAATAAATAGTTCCTGGCTAAAATTGTCCTAAAATATTGGTTGCCCTGACATGTTTTTCTGACTGGATAATCAGGTCGTACGATAAAGCGCGTGTCACTCGTCTTCTTCACACGGTCGCTACTGACCAAATACCTTCGGTGGTGTCGAGTTAGCCGACGAGCGCGAGAAGGCGTTTCATTTCCTGCGAGCACCACGCCCAATCAAAAGTTTAAATAAGTAGTATTTGTGCTGGCAAAAACCGTCAGCCTGACCGGCGAGGAACTTGAGCCCAGCAGCTGGCAATAGCAAACGTTCCGGTAGCGGTGCACGGTGACAAACAGAGGACACACGGGCACAGTCATCTGGCAAGACGAATGGCGCCCAGTCGTAGATTCCAAAGCCAACAAGTAATCACCCATGCAAACATTGATATTAATATGTTGACCGGTGTCCACATGATGAAGGCCCACGGCCCATGCACTGCCCACCCTCGCGTGCGACCCGACTGCTCAAGGTGGCGTCGGTACTCACCAGCCTGAACATGGTGACCAGAGATGGGGTGAGACGGATCAACTGACGGCAGGGCCGCCCGCCGCCGGCCTTTTGTACTTTCGTCCGGCCGGCGGCCTTCTCGCCGCTTTCATCGCTGGTCTGGCCGGCAGCTGCTCGCGTGCTGTACAGGCGCCTCCGGCATCCAATCAACGCGCACCTCGGCCGAACTAACGCCAGTCATGATCAGGGGATTTGGCTTCACGCGACCTGTCCAGCTTCCGGTTCACATACATCAGCTTGCAGTGTGTGTGAGAAGTGATGATGAACGGACGGTGAAAAATATACGGAATCGGTCAGCAAATTAATCGTCATGTGAAACAAGCTATGCATTAGGAAGAGAATGACAATGCGAGCGAGCGATTGAATGTTTTCGGCATGCATACCGACACACCTGGAGGTACAACAGATCGGTTGATGCCTCCAGCTTCCGCTCCGTTCAAATGAACGGACCTTGAGATTTTATATCCGCCATCTCGCCACTGTGCAATACATTCACTGTTCGGCGCGGCCGCGCCAGGGAGCGGCGTGCCGCAGCTCGCGCGGACCGCCCACTGTTCTGCACACCAACCCCCGCCACCGTTGCATGGGTCCGTGGATAGGGCTCACTGGGTGCGGGGTGAGTCAAATCTGTACACGTAGTTGAATAGTCGCGTGTATTCCAGTAAACCATTATGGCTTGATGCATGCCGCAAGCTGGCATATTTGCGTTAGCTGTGAGGATACCTGTAGCGTGCCCCTGCATCTTTCCTTGCACGCACCAGCTTTATGGAATCGCTTAGAGTCGCGCCTTTTCCAAAATGCCAGTCCGAAGCCCGCCAATGTTGGATCTACCCCATCAACGTTCGGCGTGCTACGATGCTGGCCAAGCGTCTATTGGTATTGGTTTCAATGCAATGGGTACTGTTGATAATTGCCTTAGTGTTAGGTCAGCGCCTTGAATGAGTGGACATCAATGATAAAAAATGTCTGCACCATTAAAATTGTTATGGTGTCTCAATGCATAATAAAGGCGATATCAGTTTCAACTTGTAGCTAAGAAAAAATGGTATGAGATTTGAGCGCGCGCCCTCTCCGAAGGTTGTCCGGAAATTCCCCCATTGCCAAGCTCAGTAGCAAAACGTTAGACTTTCCTTAAACAGAGTTGTCTTATGGAAGCCTTGCATGGAAAAAAGTGCAGAATTGCCAAACGTGTGCAAAATGCACCCATATGGTCACGCCATGTGGTTTTAAAAAATTATATCCATATCCAACTCGATCAGGATTTCATCACCATCACCGTTCGTCATCACCATCATGCTGCCAAGACCACCGAACTTCACCTAAAATGGTTGGCCCTGTCACTCGGCTGGATCCGAATTAATAAAAACACATAAATGACAGTTCTGTATAGATATAGCGAGCAACATTGATTAATGTCTTCATCATGAAGATCCTCTTCATCTTGCATGGCAGCAAGATGAATATTTTTCCACACATTTGTCTTGGAATATGGTCTGGAACTCGAAAACAAATCATGCCTATAATTCAGCGATTATCTTCTCTTCATCGATCATCTCTCTGATTCCTTGTTGTTATGTAACACGTACTCATGGGATGAGGTCGATGAACCCCTTACCGTTTCCAAACTAGGACAGACTTCGGGGGAAAAAGTGAATTGGCCTCAATTATATCCCGCGCTTGATAATAAGTTTGGTGCTGCTAGGCCAATAACTACCCCCATTATGCCACGTCAAAAAATATGAGTATTTAGGGAAATTGCATTTTTCAGTTTTGCATGCCAACATTTCTATTGCCACTCATCTGAACAAATCCTAAGTCAAGCAGAAGTGTTCTTATTTTGTCTTGAGCATGGCAATAGATAGCTCCATATGTTTTGGGCACACATTTATGATGATGGGCTGCGCTAATGTAGCGGTCCTCCGTGCACGGGCGGCAGATTTGGCTGTTGCCACCGCCGCTCGCGCCGGTCGTAGATCTCTGCGCAGTGTTCCTGATAAAGCGTCACCACTCAGAAAAAGCTAGAGACCTGTTTTGCTGTCCAAAAACGTGCAATGAATGTCCATGAGCCGCTGCAAATTCTGATGCGATTGCGCTACTTGCCGGAGAGATCTAATAAGAAAACCCTGGGAGCGGGATGATGGATTGAGACGTCACACTGGCCTTTACCGGGGCGAGGGTTAACAAACCCGGCAGATAACTTCATGTATGCTGGGAGAGGACACGATTCAGAGCATGCGACCTTCAAAAGGGGATCAACTTTTGCAACATCTGTCGTACGGGAATGCATTTCATGTTACTTGTTCTATTAAATCGGTCTGTCACGAATAAGGGGCGGGGAACACACCGCGCCTGTGCCAGTTACGGTTTTCTGATGGTAAAGAAAACCTCGTTAATCTTTACCATTAAAGAGCTCGCATTTTCGCCCCCGGAAGAAAGCTGATTTGTGCGGCGCGCGGATCCGAGCTTGTTGCCGGCCGGGCAGAGCATGGTGGGACCAAGGTCGCGCTCAACCTGTCGTCAGCACGTTTGTCGGCTCCAATCACGGCCCGATACTACCTACTTCACGTCACATGGTTACAATACCACGTGGTTTGTGACGTCACGCGCCGGTTAACAATGGTGCCAGGAATTTTCGGCAGCCTCTCAGCATGGGGAGAAAGCGCTACCAGATTGATATATCTCTCTGACAATGAAGCGGTACTTTGATTTGGCAGCTCTTGCGTATGCGAGTAAGTCAAGTGGGTTGTGGCACTTGTCTCTGTTTTGGGGGAGATGGACGCGGGATGATGATGATAGATGAGACAGATAAGAAGGGCATTGGATTGCCAAGAGAAGCCATGAAAAGGTTGGTGACGGTGATTAGTGAGATGTGGTTGCATTTCCCAGTAAATTAATAGTGTAGGAGTGGTATAAAAGATCCAGAACAGTGACGAAGCGCTTCGCGTCTCGAACATGACCTTTCAGTACAAATGGGAGCAAAATGAAAGGATAAATTTCATGCCAGTACAGGTAGCAACGAAGGGTCGATAGATTTTTCACAAGCATTGGGTGGACACTTTTAATAAAAAGGGAAGAAACTGAAGTGAGATGGGAATGGGAAGAAACACTCAACTCACGGGTGGTACAGATGACGGTAATAGCGGAACAACAGCCACAACTTTATGTACTGCTTTATAGGTAGTATGCCGCGGTCGACGGTGAGCCAGAGATAGTGTGAGGCCTGAACTAGTTAAAAGATGAAGAAAAAAATGAAGATAAAGGTCAACAGCTTTCCCGTTAGCCCACACATCGAGCGCTACGTTAGCACGCATGACGTCACACATTCCAGCTGACGATCATGCTGACGACGGATCGAACGGGGCCCAGACCGCTTCCTGCTAAAGCTTAAGTCTAAACGTTTGGAGACCAATAGCGTAACCTCAGCGCGTGCTAAACTTGCGTAAACCCGAGGGCTGACCTTGCCCATTTTCTTTCGGCATCAAGTGAGGAAGCATGGTACAGATTCGTAGTGCGCCGTGCAAGAAAATGAGTTTGAGACGTCCTGCCGTCGGTCTGTCCGGCGTTAATTGGCGGACTAGTCAGGCCGTTTAACTGCTGAGTTTTGCAAAATAAAAAAGAGGGTAACAGGAAAGGTGGGAGCTTTTCTCAAAAATAATTTAAGTTAACAGCTGGCAAAGTGCTGACCCGGAAGAATGATTTTCCTACGTCTCAGTCTTCTGGTGTTTGGACATCTGCCCGCTTTTTGGTTTTGTTTTTTGTTTTTGTAATGCATATTTTGCAACAAAAAAACGACAGAACGTTTATCACGACTCTTTTGATACATGGCGGCAGAAGACGAGGAAAAGGCGATGGATGAGGCACGCGATGACGTAGGAGGGCCTGTATGACCACAAAATAGGCAAACCATGATGCTTTTTTTTTAATTTACGCGGCGAGTGCACTTCGGAGGATAAGGGGACAGCTTATGCCCGAAATTCACGACCAGGGCCAACCGACCCTACCGCTGGAGCAAACCGGGCGTCGCGGCGCGCATCAGTACCGGCTTAGAGACACCGAGGCCACTGGTACTCTTGGGTCCTGGAATAGCGTACATGATCGGAGATGTGGGCACATCAAGATGCTACACTGGAGCTATGAATCAAACCCATCTGCCAACGAGAAGCCGGAGTTAAGAGTGCTTGGAAATGTCAGAGTGCTGTAAATAGCGCCCAGGTGCTATAGGGTAGCTGGGGATTGCTTGGAGATGCTTGGGTGCAATGATTAGCACCCAGGTGCTAGGCAACAGCTAAAACAAGCTGCTCATCACTGCACCAAAACAGGAAGCACCCAAGCGGAGCTGAGGGGGTAGCCGTGACGTGAAGTACGGTGCATGCTGTGGCGTCAATTTGGCACCAAAACAGAGCCGAACAACAACGCTTCATTTATCACGTAGGGCATGCTTAGCTTTTCTACAGTGTACAAGTCTCGGCAGTTATTCACTGTAAAAATATTAGCGCCCACCGTTATTTGCATGTTATTTGATGCCTTTTAGCACCTGTTTTAGGATAGCAGGCCCACGACTAAAAATGCGACGTGGCCTGCAAAGGTGGACCTCCTGCTTCACGTGCTGGAAAGCGGCCATGCGATGCGCGGGACATTTCAGCACAAAGTGGATGTTTGAAATCCTGGTGGCCACTTGGTCTGTGCTGAAAATAAGCATGCATAGAGTTTGGGGGGGGGGAGGGGAACGGCAGCGCCTCAGTGGTGCCAAATAGATGGTTGCGCCGCAGCCCACCATCTTTTTGACGCGTGAATCGGATTGAAACGGTGGCGTGTTTACTGGCGGGCAGCGTGGGCCTAGATGTGTGCTGCGGGCGATAAAAGACGACGGGGGGGGGGGTGAGTGTGGGGGGGGGGGGGGGAGTGAGCAGTGTCTCCCTGCAGAGTGGAAGTGAGCTGACCCCATTCTGAGTTAAGCATGTTCGCCAATGGCATATGAGTACTTAGGGTGG